CGCACAACACCAACATGCACAAACTTAAAAAAAATAAAAAGAAAATACAAGTAATTAAAATCTGACATTTGAAAATATATATATATATATATATATATCTAAATTCTTACCTTAATTAAAATTAGATCTGAAAAACGCTGGTGGTGCTCAGTGGGTATCTCTTCGTCAGAGTTGTTGTTGGTGTTGCGTTGTTGCTGTCGATGTTGCGTTGTCGGTGTTGTTGCGCTATCAGTGTTGGTGTTGCGCTGTTGTTGGTGTTATCGGTGTTGGTGTTGCTCGGTGGGGGGGTGCTCGTTGTGTTGTTGTGGGTGTTGCTCTCGATGGTTGTTGTGGGTGTTGCTCTCGGTGGTTGTGGGTGTTGTTGTGGTCGGTGATAAGAGGATAGAGAAAAAAAAGAGAGGCTTGTGAGAGAAGAGATAGGTGAGAAATTGAGAGAGGAGAGAGAAGAAGAGAAAAGAGGCGTGAAATTGAGAATAGAGAGAGGAGAGAGAAGGAGATAAAAGAGGCGTGAGAATCATGAGGGGTTGTTAGGGGTTTTTTTTTTTAACAATGAAGAGCAGTTCAATGTTCTAACCACTTCCCATTACAATTTTTAAAGCGGTTCACCCAAAACCGCTCCCCATTTGCTTGTTTCAAATTTTTTTTCGAATTTAGTATTTGCTTCCCATTTGGGGCAGCCCAATTGTTTTTTTTCTACTAGTGTTAGTTTGGTTTCTTGCTCTATTTATAGGTGAAAATGGTGAAGAAATCATATTAAGCTTCAATGGTGATTGGTTGATTTGGGTGGTGCATCTAATGGTTGAAAAGAACTTGATAATGGAGATGGAGGGGATGAATTCCAAGTGTAAGAAAATATTTTTAACATCAGATTTATAGTATAGGGGAGGTAACATTTGGAGAGGTAAATTGGAAGAAGCTTCCATGGTTATGGTGTATGAACATCATACGTTGATGTTGTTGATTGGGGAAGATTGGTTGGGTTTCTATTTTCTTTTTTTTTTTCCTTTAATTTTGTGGCTAAAAAAATCTAATTAGGGTTATACTTTGTTAAGTGAAAAATGGACTCCAAAACATTCTTATGGGCTAGAGGAAAATGATAATAATTCAATGGCCCAATAACTATGGTCATGGTTTTGAAAATAGTTTAGACTCATAGAAATTATATTATTTTAAAGTTTTAAAATAATAATTTTATAAATAAAGTTTAGCAAAATATAATTTGCTTATCAAAAATCACTTTGAAATTACAAGAGTTTAGAAAATATTTATAAATAAATAACTCAAAATATCTTAGGGAAAACACCTTAAAATAAGGTGTATAATAAATTTTTGAGATTTGAATAAATAAATGTCAAAATTAATCTTATAAACAAAAATACTTTTCCATAAAGAAAATTAATTAAACCCAACTTAGAAAATATTTAAATGTAATAAATATGATTATAAATTAATTAAATAGGCTTAAAAATACAAGGTATTACACTTCATCATTAAGCTTCCTCTATCGATTAGAACTTTCTTTTAAGATTGTCATTTATGAAGAAATACACCTACAATTTTTGTTAATAAGTTGTCATAACGCCAACTCTTTAATTAAAGTAGAGAATCGACCTTCTATGAGACCAAAACATAGGGAGGAATCAGGTAAAAATAATTTCAGGAGTCTATGTTCTGGTTTGGAATTAAATGACGACATTGAATTGAAATCCTATTTTAATTAGTGAGTGGTTGATAAAATTGAAAATGATCAAGGAACCATTAGGGGAGCTAGTAGTGTATTGTGGTGTGGAGTCGATGAATGTATGGTGGTGGACCTACACGATAACACGATGGAGTGAGGCACATCCACATGGTGTAGAGAAAGAGTGAGAGATGACAAAGTTTGTACAAAGAGAAGAAAAGGTTGATTATGATGAACTGAATTGGACTCAGAGGTCGAGTTAAAGGGGGGCAGGGAAGGAGATGATGGTTTTAGATGGATTTCAGTAATTACTTTTGGACTCACTTTAAATCTTAACCTTAAAAGGTAGCCATGGTAGATTTTTAACTCCAATCCTTACCTGTAAAAAGTTTAAGATAATTGTTATGAATAGTGTTTAACCAATTATATCCTCTGATTTTTTTTTTTAATTTTTTTTTTACTTATGTGCCCTCTTATATTAATGTTAATTGCTTGTTTTTCAACTCTTATGTATAGTGTGCGGACATTTATACCCTTAAAAATATTTGTGTACATAGTTTCCTTTATTAATGCTGCCAAACAACTAAATTTGTGACATAAGACAAATCTGAAAGAGCTCCACGGACATGGCTACCTATGACACCCGCATCGCGTGCGTTAGCCGCCCTAGTATCAACAAAATCACCATTGATGTTCTAGTGTAGAATAAAAAAAATGAAGGGTTATTTGTGACATTATATTATTTTTGTTGATTAAAAATAATTAGCAAAAATATGGGGTTATTAATGAGAAATTCCTAAAATAATACTTCCTCCACTCCATTTTACTTGTGTGATCATTTTGGATTTGTCTAATTTTTACTTTATTAAAAATCTAATATTTATATTTTTACCAAAATGTGAAACTCCTAACTCTTAATAGTTTATATTATGTATTGGAAAGCGTGAAACTCTTAATAATATTGCAAATAAAAGAAGCAGAGGAAGTACACCACAATGTTTAAGCAACTTATAGCTCTAGTACCAACTTTACCTTATTGACCTTCCACAAACATATTTTTCACAAAAAAAAAAAAATACACCACATTACTAAGACTGCACCAATTCAGAACCGAATTGAATTGAAACTGAAATGAACCAAAATAGGATTATCTAATTTTCTGGGACCGGAAAGTGGAGACTTAAAAATCTGGACTTGTTTGATTTTAGATGGTTAGACCTAATTTACAAATTAAAAAAAAAAAAGAGAGTTACTCACAAATATCTATTATATAGTCATATTTGATTAAGCTTATGCCTTTTATTTTAAATGCTTATTATGAAATTAAATATAAAAATCATAAAACTAGAATCCAAAAACCTAATAAATTAGAAAACGTAAAAGTTCAGCAGCATATAATATGAATATTTGAAATGCCCGGAAGGTAACGGGAGGGGATTTGTCACTAATGAGAATCGAAACTCGCACCGCAAGGATGCAAGGCGACCTCCTAGGCCATTGCACCAAGAAGTCTCTCTCACATAATCCTATACAAGAATTGAAGTTTAAGAGCATAAAATAAAAAGGAAAGAGTTATTAACTACGGGTTGGGTTTTACCAGTGAAGGAGCTAGAGAGTTCTAGAAAGATTGCAATAGCAGCAACCTTTGAAGGCCGATGATGCAATGGCCGTGCTATAATTATGGTACTCAGTGAGTCATGTGTAGGTGAGAGCGCAAGACAGTGAACGAAATGTGATGATAAGGGTCATCAGTATTTTATCGGCTTTAGTTGAGTGTAATTTCAAAATAAAAATATACAACTGGATGGAGCTTTCGATTCAAATCGAACATATTCGGATTTCACTTAGACCTTACCGATAACCCGAAACCCCCCTATCATCACAGATTGACGATTGGGCCTAAATCTATTTTGTTTACAAGAAGAAAAATGATTTCATTAAAGAAAGATGATTTCATTAATGAAAGATAGCCAAATTGCACTTACAAACAAATCCTAGGAAATTTAGAATACAAGCACAAGTACCAATCACCTTAAAACTAATTACATAGCAGATTTGATCAACGATCGCCTTAATAAAAATTTCATCTGAAGTAATACAATTTGTGAGTTAGCACTAATTCGGTTTGAGATCCACTGATGAATAGTTCTTTGAGTGAAAATACTCATATGGTTTTCTGGATACTTTCAGAAATTATGAAACCCTAAATCTTCAATTTTCAGTAGACGAACAAAAAGAATTAAGCCTAATACAATAACCACCATCTTAAAGATGGGATCCATTTATTGAAAGCAATTTAAAAGTTTTTTTTGGGGCTTATCACCGGTAAAAACACAAGTGAAAAGTCCCTATAAAGATTAACCTATACGATCAAGCTTAAATCTACCGATACAATCGCGTCCCAATTTAGGACATGTTCTCTTCAACTTATTTCAGGTACTTATTAATTATTCCTTAATCAATTAAGATCAGATTAGACTAGACCAGAAACATTCAGCTCAGACCAGATTAGAACTTTTAATTATCATTTACTTATTGCTAAATATAGTTAATGGTGTAAGACAAAAAATTATGAAAATTACATATTTAAAAAGTTTATAATGAGACGAATCTAACAAGACCTATTTTGATAATGTTTTTTTTTTAAATTTTTAAATTTTTATTTTTTTTAGATAAGTATTAAAATGCGGTCAAAATTTAGTCAAATTATTAAATCAGATCAGACCAGATCAGATAATAAAAATTCAGATCAGACCAAATTAGCCCTAAAGTCTTAAGACTTAAAATGACATCACTTTTTGATAGGTCCCATTAAAAATGATGTCATTGTATTAGTTAAGACTCTTTTAATACTCACTCATATCTAGTAGTTTAGCCCTAAACTCACTTAAAACTTCTCATACCATATATTATTATATTTTATTTTTTACTCTTTGTAATTATAAAAAAATAAAGTACGGCCCACACTCAAGTCTTAAATTGAGTATTGAATTTTCAAGACTCAACTTGAGACTTAGCTAAGATTTCTTAAGAAAAATGGGATCAAATTTGTCTTAAGACCCAAGATGATGATGTCATGTAGAGTCTTAAGACTCAAGACTAATTTTGCTCATGAAAATCAAACCATATCTCTTTGTTTCAGGTGAAGAGAAAGACCCAAGATGATGATGTCGTGTAGGGTCTTAAGAGTCAAGATTAATTTTGCTCATGAAAATCAGATCATATCTCCTTGTTTCAAGTGAAGAGAATAAGTCCTCACACACCCCCTATGCACACTACTATTAGTCCAAACTCTAGTAACTTTACCTTCTCCACCTCCTACATAAAAAAAAAAAAAAAAAAAAAAATCTCAGAGCGGCGCACGTTAGCAAATGAGCCCGAAAATAAACTCCCCCCTCATTCCCTTTCTCCAATTTTTTCACTTTCTCTCTCTTCCCCTCTTCTCTTCTCTTCTGTGTTGTTTAGGGTTATCTGCAACCGCAGTCACTCCTCTTTCTCTCTCTTCCCCTTTTCTTCAATTTCACTTTGAATTTTCGAATTCGATTTTCAATTTCCCAATTCAATTTCCCCTTTTTTCCTTTCCAAATTTTCTAGGGCTTTTACAAATTTCAATGCCTCGGAATTTCCCGACTTCATCGGCTTCTGGTGTTTCTAGCGACTGTGTTTCTGCTACTCGCTTCTTCGCCAAAGCAGCGAGTGGCCGCATCACGTTTCGGATTTTTCTTCGATTTTTTCTTTTCTTCCCTAATTTCAATTTTAATTTGGCATGACATAGAGAGTTTTTCTTGCTTCTATACCCCTTTTTTTCTTTTTCTTTTCTGTTAATTGAGAGTGGGGTTTTGAATTTTTGATTTTTGGATTAAATTTTGGGTTTTTGATCGGGGAGAGTTGGTTTTTCTATGGCACCAAGTCGAAGGAAGGGCGCTAGTAAGGCTGCTGCTGCTGCCGCGGCTCGCCGGCAGTGGAAAGTTGGCGATCTTGTTCTTGCTAAGGTCAAAGGTTTTCCGGCGTGGCCGGCTACGGTATGTTTATCGCTTTGATCTTCTATTTGGGTTTATGGGTGGTTATAAATCATGGTAATTAGCGGTTTTGTTTTGAATTTTTTGATGTTTAATTTCTGGTTTGTTGCTTTTTTCTGTGAAATTCAGGGATTTTAGCTTATTAGTTTAATTGGTGGATCTTGTGGGTGATTTAAGTTTATGTGTGTTATTGTTGCTCCTTAATTTTTTGATTGTATATTCGAGTTTTTAGGTGCAGAATTGCTTTACCGTCTGATTTCTTGTGTATTATTGTGCAATGATGTTGGTTGTGGTTTAAACTGGTTTACGTGGAATCATACACTTATATGGAACTTGTAGGATGCCGATTTCTTGTTGGATCATGGTGCACAATAGAATGGGACTCTGATGAATATGGTTGATCGATAGAGGGTCATTTTTTCTTGTAAAAGTAATCAAAAGGGGATTTGTTCTTCATTAACAAACATATAGGATTTCAATTAAAAAATAGTCGAAGGTGTACGTGGAAGCAAGGGTTTTTTTTTTTTCTTTTTTGTTTAATTTGATGTTTCACTTGGTCTTTTTGCTGTTTGAAATGTTTAGATGTGATCCTTTGATGGTGGGATTTGTAGAGAGTGGTGGTTCATGGTTGTTATTGCTTATGCCTCCATCTACACAATTCCAATTGAAATTAGACTTTTGTTGAGAAAGAAGCATCCTGGTTAGTACCTCGGCTGTGAATAGGCTATCCACCAATATCGTTTCATGGCCTAAGCATTTCTTGGGTATGACACTTCATCTACTACATTTGGATGTGTGATAGCTCTATTGTTGCGAATAAAAAAGAACATTGGAAGTATTTCTTATCATAATTAAAGAGAATATATTTTCAATATATAGAATTAGGGATTTGTCTTCATGAAATTCTGTAATGGAAATTATATTTGCATCCCAAATTTTATCTTTTAGGCTATCAATATTTCTTTCGCATAAGAGTTTAGGTTTGTAATTAATACTTTTTCAAAAATATAGAAAGTTTGAAACCTGATCATTTAACATGTGTAAGATTTTCTTCATTTATTCGCTAGGTTATATGTGCTGCATTGTCATTCTAAAGGGAATAAATTTAGGGTCGATGGGACGGATTTATCAAAGTGAAAAAGTGTGAATTTAGTTTTTTGTTATGTGATCATGGCTATTGAATTTATTGATAATCATGTATATACTACCAATACTTGTAGTGCTGTTTCTTTAGAGATGTTATGTTGGATATACCTGTCATGGCCATTGGTTTTTAGGTTATATATTACCATTGTATACACGTAATGCCTTTTCAATAGTGATGTCATGATGGAAGTAACTATTCATCATAAATTGGGTTATCTTGTTATAGTTGTGTGATATGTAACAATCGTATTACCATAAATGAGATGTTTTGGTGGTTTTATCAATCGAAGAGAAATGGTGACTTTGTTAGGGTTGTGGACTCATTGCTTGGTTATTTTTGTTTGATATGGAAAGAAAGCATAATTTATAACTCGTGAGGGCATTGGGAGATGTTTATTGCCTAGAGGTACATGAGGAAAGCTTGGAAGCTTCAAAAAAAAGATTTCCTTTTAATGATGAACTATGGAATCAATGCTTGCATAGTGTTAAAATTTTGAGCTTTGGCATGCTGTACTCATTATTTTCATAATAGATCCCCGTTTGCCTCATTTTTCTTGTTTATTTAAGTTGCCTTGGGCTGTATAATTTTGGTAGTGTGACTTATTGATCACTAACACTTGGATCTTACCCTTTGGTGCTAGGTAAGTGAGCCAGAGAAATGGGGTTATTCATGTGATTGGAAGAAAGTTCTTGTTTACTTCTTTGGAACAAAGCAAATGTGAGTATTTGTTTGATATTTAAATGTTTGGAATGTTAATTTGAATTTGTTAGACTATAATGCTTTGGTGTTTTGGTATATTTGTATTATTGACGCTTAGTATCTTGAATGTATTTTTTTTGATGAATTTTAAGGGTTTTTCACTTGTCTATTAAGGAACTCACCACCATGATTGGAGCTTGTTTGTTTGGTTGTTAGTTGATGCATGATGGGATTTAATGAAGGGTTTTTGATTCATAAATATCATGCAACTAACACTTTACAGGTGATGTGTTTAGGGTTTTTGTGAAATGTGTGAGTTATATATTTATATTATAAGAAATAAGAAATAGCTTAAAGCAAGTAGAAAGAGTTAGGCTCATTTTCTTAGCTTGAAGCAAGGACTAGAAAGAAGAATCACAAATGCTTATAGAGAAAGCACATTTAAAGCTAGAGGCTAATAATTTGGACATCATATAAAGGTTCTTATGATTCCAAGCTAGCCTAAAGGAAGACATAGACTGCATTGTAGTGATATTTTAATTTTTTTTCTTTAAGTTTTTAATGAGCCTTTAATTCTTAGGATCATATGAAAAAATTAATAATGAAATAAAATAAAATAAAGATTGATTAAACATAACTAGTCACTTGCTCTCCATGGTAGTGCATGTTGTGTGCTAAGATTTATAAGGCATGTGTTGTTAAACTATACTTTTGGCAATCGTTTGCATACTTAAATGTTTGAATTTTTGTTGGTTATACACCTATATGTGTAAGTTGCCTTCTTTAACAATTCAATTTTGACTTAGATAGTCTTGTTTGAACTCTAAAATCACATGAAAGTCTTCAAACTAAATCATGACATATTTATATTGCCTAATTGAAATTAGGTTAACTAAGATATCCTTTTTTATTTTTTTTATTTGTTCTATGTACTTGCAATATTTTGATTGGACACACTAGCCAATGCACAACTTTGACCACTAATATCTTTTATTGTGTATTAGTAAAAATTATAAATGCTTAATGAAGTATACATTAATATACCCAACATCTTACATGCTGTCATTTTCTCTCCTATACTAGCAAAATAAATTGGTCAAAATGAGGTGTGAACAATGCAAATAATCAAATTGTTGAGAGTAATTTAGGATAGAGTGAGTATGTGTTACAATGCTTACGTGTCATTAGATCTCATATTAGCTGTGCAACGATTTTGTGAAGCCCAAATCATGTTTAAAATTTTTAGAGCAAAGATCTTATCCTAACAAATTTGTGTAAAGTCCAACTATTTGGTATAATTGCACATATGTAGAACATGTGATTTGAATTGTCGTCGTTTCATCAACATCCTTGTATGCAAATACAAAGTTTGTGGGTTGCTCTTATCTTTCATGGGATATGAAAGTTCATATGTTTTGCAAAATGTCTTAGTGACTTATGAACATCCAATCTTAGTTTTAAAAAGGCGCATCTAGGTGCAAGGCTAATAAAACTGTAAGGGCTTTAACCAATTTAGGCGCAAGCACCTGTTGAAAGCGTGCGCCTCATCCAAGGCGCATAATGCAATGCCTTAAGTCGCTTTATGTTTTATAGCGTGGAATAATGAGATATGAATCTATAAATTTTATAAAGACCAATTTTTTTTTTTTTTTTTTTTTTTTTCCCAAATTGAATCTTATCTGGTGGTTAAATTGATAATTAGAGCAAAAGCCCCATATTAATTGAATGAAAATTTATTAATTTAACCCCAAATAAAAAATCCTAAATATTTGAAATTCCTTATATACGGGTTGTTAAATAATTGGAGGAATTGATGGGTGCAGCAATCCTTGACGGTTTTCGGCACTAGATGTCTAGATTCAAGAGGTTTATTTTATTTTTTTATTTTATTTTTATTTTTTTTCCCTTTTAGTTGAGGGCCCACTTCCTTCTATGATTTTAGAAACCACGTGACTTCCACCCTTCTTTTCTAAGCTCCTCATATACGAACTAGGACTCCTTTATAAGTTGCTTTTATTTTGATGCCTAGGATGCTCAAAAGTGATTAGAGCAATTCTTGAACATGTGGAAAATTCATTTTAACTTGAGTTTCATAATAGTATATATATGTTACTTTACCTTTAAATTGTCCAAAGAGAATTTTTTGTTAGCCTTGTTTGATAAGGTATTTTAGGCATGTTAGGGTGTGTTTTATTTACTTAATTTTTACATATTGAAACTAATTTGTACTTACCTAAACTTATTTTTAATTGTAAATTGAACTTAGTAGCCCTTAGAAACCCTTAGTAAAACTTGTTTTCCCTAAATTTGAACTTATTAACTCCTATCTAACTTATTCTATTTTAACCTATCGTAATATATTAACCCATATTTGAACTTGTTACTATTTATGATGAGTTAAATAATTGTATCACATCATGTACTAATTCTCCATCACTCGTGCTAGACATATGTGTTTCTCTTCATTGAGAGGCGCTTCTAGAATTATTATGCCAGAATAAATATGAAACTTGCTCACAGGATGTAACCTCTTTATATGGAGAGGCTTTAAACAGGCTACCTCCCTTGTATCGTATCATCAAATTATGATTAAAGTAATAAAATTACCCATATATGGTCCAAACAAAACTTTTTAGCTTTGAAGAGCCCTGTTGTCCAAATGAATGCTGTAATATTGTCTTTCTAACAGTATCCAATGTACACCTTTGCACCTTTGATCATATATATCTACGTTTATGCTTTTTGGTTAAAATTATTAAATATTGATTTTTTTTAAGATACTGATCAGATAAACCTAACAAGATCCACTTTATAAGGTTTTAAACACATCCAAAATCTATGAAGTTTGACAACCACAAAATCACATTTTTAGCTAAGAAGTGAATTCATGTGATGCATATTATTATGTGTACTCTTTTTACCCTCTTGTAGAACAGCCCCCCAACACGATTGCTGCGTAGTTGGCAAATTGTCTCTCTGGTTGCACCTATGATGATTTGTCTCTGCAATCTTCTTTCTACTTGTGATGATAATCCAATTTGTGTGTTTGAAAAATTGCAAACTAAGTTGGCATAATAGTTATCTGGCCTTCGATTGAAATTACTCCTTTGTTTTAGAAGATAAGTAAAAGTGAGATTAATGAAAGGATACTAAGCTGGTATCTCTGATGCTCGAAGGAAAGGCTGACATTGTAAAATATAATTAATGGCATGATGGCATACAACTAGGAATGATAGTGACAACAGAAATATTTTATTCAAGCTGATTGATCTTGCATGAATTTTTCCAGAAATTTAAGGTTGTCAGGTAGGATTATAGATGCCCAAAGCAAGGAGCTTAATTTAAGCTTGTATGTGGTTAGAGAGGTGGGCATCGATATATTCATTATTTTTTTTTATTATTTTTCAGTTTTGATTTTATTCACAACAAAGGTGGTTTTTATTTTAAATATTGAAGCCGTGTTTTTTCTTAAAATCTTTGCATGAGAGTATCAAGGATGTTGATCAACTTATTCATCATTGAAATTGTTAAAAAGGCACTAAAACCCTTTATGGAATATATTTGTCCTTCTTTCATATGCTGTTTAATAGTTAAACTTGTACAATTGTAGCATTATTTGGTGATTACAAGCTATTCTTGAGAGCCTTCTTTTTAGTCTTTTCTTTGTTTCATTTACAATAAGCGGTATACATCCTCCAAGCTAGTTATTCCTTTTTGAAATGTTTCTAAATCTGACATACTATCTACATTTACATTCGTCTTTCATTTGTTTATCTTTTATATACTCTATAGTTTTGAGTATTACGATGTTACATGTTGAGCTGTGGAAAAAATAGTTGATATCAGCGGATAACTAATTTTCACTTTTCTGAACCTTTCTACTTTAAGGCTAAATATCAATTTTTTTGATCTGGGTATCTTTTTTGTAAGCGTCAAACCTGTGCATACATTTTTGGATTGCTGGATGGCTTTAGTTTAAAATAGAAAGATATTAAACACAAAATGAGAGATGGAAGCTTGTAGAAGTGATAATTTTATTGGGGAACAAATATGTGTGCCCAAAGTTTTTAGTTGGTCCAAGTGTTGTTTCCAGCCTTTTTGTATGTCATGACAAGTTGTGGTCCACTTTATTACACATAACGGGTATGCAGATTGCAATTTACTACCTAATTATGTTACATTAGTCCAATGTTTTACCATACCAGACTACCAGTATGCATGTTCTCACTATGCAATTCACGGGGAGGGAAGGGGGACTGGAGTGTTACATAACACTGGTCTTGACATGAGGGCAAGTTCTATGCTCTTTGTATTGACCTTGTTTTGATGAGTTCCATGTTTGAACAGCTGCTTTTAATTTCGTTTGATTTTGTATAGAATACATTGTAGGATTGTAATTGTGGTGATGTTTCCTTAAATGCAGAGCCTTCTGCAACCCTGCTGATGTGGAAGAATTCACAGAAGAGAAGAAAGAATTTCTTCTGGGAAAGCGCCAGGGAAGAGGTGCTGATTTTGTTCGAGCTGTGCAGGAGATTGTTGATTGTTATGAGAAGTTGAAGGAAAATAATCAGAATGATCGGCTGAGCTCTGGCGGTGCTTCTGCTGAAAATGCTGTAACTGATGATCTTAATGCATCTAATGCAAGAGTTCCTGATGCAACACATAATTCCACCGTGAAATCACCTAATTCTTGTAGACCAAAAGATGAACCAGGTACTGCTTTGGAAGATGTTGGAGCGCTTACAGAAGTAGAATCTACGCAGCAAACTGTGCTATCAGAAGAACAGGATAATAACGCTGCTGGACCCAACTTTTCCATGCCTAATACCTATACTTTGAGAAAAAAGTCTAGAAGCAGTCAGCCTCAACGGTCTGCTAATAAAAAGAAAGTGTCTGTTCAAAGGTCCAGAAGTTCACTGAGATTTCATTCGCGTGGTTTACAGAATGGTGAGTTGAAATGTTGTGATAGCAATCTTTTGGATGATGTTGGTTTAAATGGGTTTTTAGATGGTCCATTGAGAAGAGCCAAGAGGAGTAAAAGATCACCTGATCTGAATGTTCCCAGTGTTGAGGATTCACCCATTTGTAATTCCAATGGAACCGTTGAAGATAATGGATCTGAAATTGCTATGGCTGACTCTGAGAACCTTAGTAATAATGATGGTAGTGCAATTGAATCTGACCATAAACGTGAACAATTAGATTTTTTCAGTGAAGGTTTTGAAAGAGGTCTTGAATTGAGCAGAAGGCTTGATTTTCATGCAAAGACTGTTGTTGTGAGAAAAAAAAGGAACCCAGGAAGAAAACGAATTCAAAATGATGTTATAGAATTTACTTCAAGATCTGATCATGAAGTTAGTAATGAGTTACAGGTCCTAAAAGATACTATGGCATTGCCATCCTTGTGTGGAAAATTGATTGAAAATCATCACAAGGATGAAAGTGATGAACACTTACCACTAGTAAAGCGTGCTAGAGTTCGAATGGGAAAAATGCCAGCTGAAGAGCATCAGCAGCTTGATTTTCTTGTGAAGGGTGAAGAAAAATCCTTAGGGTTTGTTCCAGTTAGTGCTTGTAAGTTGGCAAGCACTTCCTTGAACTGTGACGATAGCCATCAGCCTACAAGTACTTCCTTGAACTGTGAAGATATCCATCCGCCTACAAGTACTTCCATGAGCGTTGATAATATCAGTCCGCCTAAGGATCTGTTAACTGTGAATGAACTAATTGTGTCATCACCTGTGGATAATGTTGTAGAGGTTGCAGAGGATAAGCCACAGACTCAAAAGGAAATTGACTCCTGTGTTGTAAATGAGTCGGTAGCATTTTCACCGGTGAATAATTGTATCCACATTCCTGAAGATAAGCCTCAGCCTTTGAAGACTAAGATAAATCACCCATTTGGCTGTGTTTTTGATGGCGAAGCTGCTTTACCTCCATCTAAGCGCCTTCATCGGGCCTTAGAAGCCATGTCAGCTAATGCTGCTGAAGAGAGTCAAACACCAGTATTGGTATCTTTGTCAACAAAAGTAGAAACCGAAGTGTCTCATTTCCCTCTGGCTGAGACCAACTCTGATATGCATTTGAGTAACGAAGGAGACAATGATCTGGAATCACATCATGATTCCTTGAACTGTAATAATGCTTTCCATGATGATTGTGCTGGACTCTCTAACATTTCTGAACCAACCAATTATGAAGTAATAACTAAGTCATTTCAAGATGTGTCTATGTTGGATTCACCTGACAGGATTTTGGACACTGAAAAGGCTGAATCCAAAGATAATTCTGAGGAAGTGACTGTTTGTGTAGAAAATAAAGATCTCAGGGGGACAGAGATCACTATTGTGCCTGACAATATCCTCCCAGATCAGGCTTCACAACCCTTTTTAAGCAGTGTTCCTGAGTCAGGGCTGTCAGAATCACTGACTACTGTACTAACTCAGCCTCACTTGGAGGTGTTAAGCAAGGCAGGGGAAGAAGAAATGGTTGAAAGTGGGACAGAATGTTACAAGCCTGCGGATAAGATGCAATCTGGAAAGGACATAAACTCTGAATTAGGGGAAGATAAAGTTACAAATGTTGGATGCAGTAATGGTACTACTGTAGGTCTCTGTAATGGAAAGGCTGGAAATTTTGCAACAAATGAAAATTTGAAGGTTGTAATGACCAAATTGACTGAAGCTGTTAGTTTGTAAGTTGGTTTGCTGGTCACTTTTTCTTCATTTTGTGCTCATTTCACTTTCTTGAAGTTTTTCATCTTTGGGGCTGGTTTATCTCATTAATTGTATGCTATTTTGGCTTGTGATCTCAGATGTGAAACTGTGAACAAAGGTGAAAGTACAGCAGATGTAAGAATGGATGCCTCTTCATCACCACCATTTAATGCTTCGCAACAAATATGTCATGATGCAGTATCTGGTGTTCTGTCAAATGATTTAGATGATGATAGTAAAACTACAATTGCCCTTCCTGCTGAAGTAGAAAAGCAGAAGCATGTTTCTCATTCAAACAACCTTATAGCTGCCTCAGATAACAGTTATCATTCTCTGCGTAGGGAGGGTGAAGCCATTGATGCCAAGTTACCTCTTGGCAAGCTAGCCGCAGATGCTGCTGAAAGTAAAGTTTTAGATGCTGATATGTGTCTTCAGGTTAAGTCAGGGGAAAGAACCAATCTAGCAGAAGTAAAAGCCGCTCTTGCTTCACTTGAATTGACACTTGGGTCATTGACTAGAACTAAAGAAAGCATAGGCCGGGCAACTCGAATAGCAGTTGATTGTGTAAAATTTGGTAGTGCTGTTGAGGTATGATCAACTCTCCGAATATTTTATTTAATGATTATTGTGAACTTGTTAGCTGCATATGGTAATTTGGTTCTATATGATTATCACTCGCTGTTTTCACCAGTGGGCCAACTTAATGTGGTTGAAGTTTTCTTGGTCTTTCTTTTCTTTTTTATTTCTGGGTTTTACATGTATATAATTGTCTAGAAAATATACTGTAATTTTCAAACCGAAAGTCCAAGCTACAGAGGCACAGGTATATGATAGAAGGTTGCTTTCATTTGATATAATGTATAATAAACTCAGTACTTTTACATTCTGTTTCTGTTGATATCTGGTCCCACATTTAGCTCAATAGCCGAGCATCAAAAATGTTGGCTGTGCTGTAACAATGTCATGAAGGGTTTAGTGGTAGCTATGCCGTCTCAAAGATTCAGTCAGTTAATTTATACATGTATAAAGAGTTGGAGTCTTTCTAATATTTGGTTAATATCTATAAATTTACGGCACTATTTTTGAGAACAAAATAATTGTATATTATAGTGTTGACTAAGAGTTTGGGTTTAGGTGGTAGATCTTCTTGCTCTCTATTTGGAGAAGGAGTCCAGCTTGTACCGGCGAGTAGATCTATTCTTCCTTGTGGATTCTATTGCCCAATGCTCTCGAGGTTTGAAAGGTATGTATTTATCATTGCAACTGTCATGCAAATACTTTTGATGTTGCCATGATTAAATGTAGCATGATTGCTTGAATGCCTTGTTGTGGGCTTTTTTTTGCTTTGTGAATTAAAATTTTTATGTCCAGGTGAAGTTGGTGGTACATATATATCTGCTGTCAAGGAAAACCTTGCACGCATGTTATCAGCTGCTGCTCCGCCTGGTCAAGCTGGGAGAGAAAATCGTAGGCAATGCTTGAAGGCAAGTGTAACAACAATAATTTTTTTACCCAATTTACATTGAGTTCAGATCTGGTTATCTGTAATTGTAATACTATCATAAGTTTTTGTCAATTTGGATTATGTTAATATCTATCCTCTGTTTCAGGTATTACGGCTTTGGCTAGAAAGAAGGATCCTCCCAGAATCCATTATCTGTCAACATATACGGGAACTTGACTCACTTAATTGTTCCTCTTCTACTGGCGGTTATTCTCGTCGCATGTCAAGGACAGAGAGATCATTTGATGATCCTTTACGAGACATGGAAGGCATGCTGGTAGACGAGTATGGGAGGTAACATTCTAGTCTCTTTCCACATCTCTACATATGATAAACCTAGTGTGGCTTGTACATTTTCTTAGTCGAATAAGTTCTCCATTTCGCAGTCCATTTTTCTCTAGATAAGTATGAGTTGCCAAAAACCTGTTTAAATTGTGTTTGCATTGTTCGATGAGCTTGTACAACTTCCATTTACAGTTTTTGAAAAGATGCAATATATTCCTTTTATGGATGTTTCAACAATACTTGTAACACCCATAAAAGGAATGTATCTATATTGGAATTTATTATGATCTAAGTTATACCTAAAGGACTTGAAGAATCCCAATATTCAGTGGGACTATAATTTTAGGTAGTACAAAATTGGGTCACCACTTGATTGCTGTTTACAGGCTATGTTGCACATAAATGTTCCAGATGTGCGTTTTACCAGTATTGAAACTCCAGGAATAGTTTAGGGAGAAAGTATAAATTATGGAGGTGCTACAATCGCTTCTGAGACTGTTGAAACATTAAGAGGGATAAAATAATCTCCTAGATAATAGCTAGAGGTGGCTTAAATGCTTGCAAAAGCATACATAGACTTTTACATCCTCAAGGCCTTGTATGACTTGGCATAGTAGCGAGTCTTCAGGTATTGCACATTTTCACATAACTTTATATATTTCTTTTCTTAAAATTAGTATCAATAGCAGTACTTGGTTGAAATAAACAGATTTGGTCGTTGGTTGGTTGGTTGTCTTGGGAGGCTTCCTCTCCTAGATTAATGCTTCCTTGTGGTTTTAAGCCACTTTTACATGAGAGCCTTAAATTCCATCAACTCTTCCAAATTTTAAGTTTCTGTTCCTCAATTGCCACAAATGTACCTTTCAGTCGGTGCTAAAGGATTTGTAAAAGTGTCAAACTTGAAGTATCTCATATGGCAAGCATTTGTTTATTTTCTTATGTATTTAAAGAATTGCACCCAACCTCTTTATACTCCTTTAGTCTCATAGAACTTGCAACCCAATTCTATTTCACACATTTTAACAAAGAGATTGGAGAAGTTTAATGGACAAAATTAAACCCGTTGCTTTTAAGACCCGAGAAGGTTAATGTACAAAATTAAATCATTCTCAAAATGCCTGCTGAGATGTTTGTTTGCAAATATTAGGAAACGGAGGAAATATATTGTAAATATTGGATGACTTGCATGCATGTTGGAGTCAAATATTTTTACGTAATTCACAAGCACCCCCCCCCCCCCTCTTTTCTTCTTCTTCTTCTTCCTTTTTTGTGATTTGTGTGTTGAAATTAAGAACTCTGATGAAGTTGTGGATAATTTTCTTATCTAATTGTTACATATATTAGTTTCAATGCAATGAGATGTTGGCTTTATCACCTCAAGTGTGAGGTGCTTGCTTCAGTTGTATTTATGTGTGTATTTTTTTTTTAATTTTTTTTTTATATTTTAATTTCCTCAATCCCTTCTTGCTTCTCACCTCCTTTGAAAACTACTCTTCAAGAAATAGCATAAAATATTGTATTTTTGCAAAGCTTGAAGTCCAGAACATCTAGATTGGTTTTGCTTAAAAGTTGCGTCTTAGTGGTATTAGGTTCAAAAAGTGCTTTCAAGGCACAACTTAGCGAGGGGGTGCATATGGGCTTTAAGAAAATGCCTCATTTTGTATTTACGCTTTAGGTGCAACTATCTACGGCTGGAGTTGTGGGACCCATTTATTGGCCACATTTTGTAGTAATGCGAAAGATAATAACATTTTGAAACTTGATGAGTTTATATTTTCTGTCAATTAAAACCTAACAAGGTTCTACAATTCAAATTTGACTAAATTCCTCATTAATTGGATGAAATTTCTTCAAATTGATCCATGAATTTAAATGCCCCAATCTTGTCAAAGCTGTAAATTTAAAAGTTTGGGTGAAAGTTCACAATTGGTGCTTGATTGATATGCAAAGATTGTGGACTATACTTGCAGCCTTCCGTGGTTGTCACCAAAAAATCTTTTCAAGGTCAACTCTCTCTTGATCTATCTATAAATTCTTCTATCTCCCTTCTTTCTCCCCCCCCCCCTTTTTTCCTGTCTCTTCATCATTTCTTGCTGCTTCTTTCTGTTATCATTGCTTTCTCTTAGCATTTATGTGAGTATCATTTCAACATCTCATCTTTTCTATTTTTTTTCTAGTTAGTAGACCCCCCTCTTTTCAACTATTTGAATTGCTTAGTGTGGGCCTTTTTCTTAAGTTACAGAAGTATTGGGCTTTTATTTATTTTTTTTTCATAGAATTTTTCCTTGACTTTTGTGCTCTTTCACTGAAACTTTATACCACAACACACAGGTTGAGAAAAAAATAAATAATAATAATTTACCAAAAGGATTAGGTGAGTCAACATAATGAAAGTGCCTTGTGCGGTTGCGCCTATGCATCAAGTTACCTCTACATCTCTCATTTCACCATTTATATTAAGGGAGTGTCTTTGAGTGTAGTGTTTTCTCTCTTCATGTCTAATGTGAGTTCTTCCATATTGGAGAAGAGGAGATGAGATTTAACAAAATTTTATTGCTGATTATTTCCTCTTTCCGTCGACTATTAATAGCTTACAAGGCTATAACCTCTACTAACTTTATTTCTCAAAATGTGCCATATTTTGACTCTTTGCATTAGTCATATATTGGCTTAACAACAATTTTCCTAGTATATGAAAAAATAATGCAATTATCTTAAATGTCGTTTTATTAGCTTCAATGTATACTATTAAAATTTAAAACTTTTATGGATGCATTTTATTAATGGTAATATTTGTGCATTGACTTTTGTGGAAGTCAATATGCTGCATGTATTGAGAAACATATGAAGTTTAACTTTATTCTAACTTAGGGAAAAGAGCTGTAATGGATAGAGTGTGGAAGATAATGAATACGGTTGAAACTAAAGAAAGTAATGTGGACAATAGGGAGGGAAGAGAGAAGAGAGAGAGAGAGAGAGAGAGAGAGAGAGCCTCCATTGTCCTTGTAAAGCTTTTTTAGGATTGTTGTGTTATGATATCTAATGATTTTGATTATTATAACGAATATGATTATAAATCTTAGTAGACGTATATTTTATAGGGTCTAATGCAAACTGCTGCTTTCAAAAGTATATTACAACTAAAAACATATTAATAGCTTTTGTCTTTATGCTGAAAGGCCCAAACTGCTAAATGCCTTTTCTAAGCAGATCCTGCATTGGATTACAATGTGAAAGATGCTCACAGGATCTAGTTTTGTTCAATTAACCCTTTCTGTGAGTAAGGGAGGTAGTTTTCTCTTAGATATATGGCTTCATCTGGATTATAGCACAAAATGAAACCAGTTGATAGAAACAATGATGGTGGTGGTTCCTAATATTGAATAAGCTGATCCCAAGATGGTTTGTTGTGCTACTAACTAAATATTAAATGCAAGAATAAAGCAAGGAGGAGGAGTTTGATTGATTATAATTTGGAAACTGCAGCCAAGTAAATGATAATTCACATGCTATAGGTGGATTCTCTTCCAATTTATCTTAATTAAGCTAAATCAAAACATTCATTCAGTATTAAAATATTGCCCTATATCTAGTATTACTCCAACTAACTTATTTCTCTCAAGACACTACTGACTGAATTATATTGCATTACCTAATATGCTCTCCCCTCATATTGAATTGTTGATTTATAACAGGTTGCCTTTAATTTGTTAAACTTGCGATTTTGTTTTCTTGATGAAAGAAGAAAGGGGACTGATGGCACGATTTTTTTTTAATGGAATTTTACTTAATTGGCTAGTTATCTGGCCAAATATTGAAATTTAGCTGAGTTGGTCCTTTGACAATTTTGGTAAATAGTGGTATTGCATTTAGTTTGGATCCTTTAGCTGCAGAGGGAAGAAGCGCAGGAGAGTTAATTCCTTTTTGCTTTATCATCAACCTCCCCCTCCCCTTCGTCTCTTTACTTCCTTTCCCTTCTATATTGATATCCTAACTAAGTGTCAGAGTGCTATACTAGACTAACTTTCAGGCCTTGCTTGGATTGGGGGTAATATATTAAGGGGGTAATAAAAGTTAAACTTGAAAAAACATAAGTAATTAGAGGAGGTGTAATAGGAGGCATGATGTTTACAAATGAAATAAAGTAATTGTGCCATGAGGAAAAGAGAGAGATGGAGGAATTATTACCCTCATAATGAGGGTAATAGTTACCCACCCTCCCCCTAGTGTAACTATTACCCCCAAAATAAGGGTATTAGTTCTCTTTCTTCATCTCATACCACACCATCACTACATAATTTTCCTTACAATCATACCATCACTATCTCCTCCTTCCCTATTTTCTTTTATTTTGCTTAGTTTGACTTTTATTACCCTAGTAAAATATCTACCCCAATCCAAGCATGCCCTCAATCTATTAAAAGTGCACGGATTCCTTTGGGTATTGTAGAGGCACCAAATGGAACCAGATTATGGTTGAAGGGTAATTTAAAGTTTTTTTTATTTTTTATTTTTTTATTTTTATGATGATTCTTTTTAATGTGGTCACTTCGGTTCATTGATGATAGAATCCATGTTGATCCTCATATATATATATATATATATATATATATATATATATATATATATATATTTCTTTTTTTAGGGGAATGTTTTCTTAATTTGTTAAATATACGATAATATATGATGAAAGGAAGAAAAAGGGATTTTTTTTTTTGTTTTAATGGAATAGGGAGGGGTGATTTCATTAAATAATAATAGTCATTCGGCATTTACAATCATCCCTTAAGAGATCTAAATTTTCAATACAAGAATTAAACACCTATAAACTAATGGCATCGCTTCTGAATTGCTCCTGGATAATTTTAGATGGCTTTGCATCGTTATTGACGGAGCTCCATTGATGTATAGTTGCAAAAGTGATAAAACTTGATTGGTCGTCATCAAGATCTGCAAATTTGCAAGACGAATCTTTTAAATCTGCACCCCTATACTAACAGACCCGCGATTTCACAAATTTGCAAGACGAATCTTCCAAATTTGTATCCCTGCACACACGAAAAACAAACAAACAAACAATACTAAACATTCCACCATTAGGGAACCGACTAAACCCTACATGGAGGGACGGACTATAATCACCATACTGTTGGTGATCTTTATTAGCTAAAAACGTTAAATTAAAGAAGAATTTGGGGCTTACCATCGATAAAAATCGATGACAGCCCCTACGTTTTACTATGGTGGCTAGGTTTGAAGAGAGAACGGAGAAAATTTTTGGGTTTTGAAAAATTTTAGGTTGTTTGATATGATTCAAGTTTAATTTTGTATAAGGTTAAAAAGGGGAATACTTTGGTTAACGTCGCTAGTGATAATATATGGCATGATCTCTAACAGAATATTACACCATTGGACTAGTTGTCTGGACAAATCTTGAACTCTAGCAGCATTGGTCCCTTGAGAACTTTGGTTAACGTCGCTAGTGATAAAATTGTAGTGTTTATGTCCACTATAGTGTGGTGTTTAATTTATATTTTATCTGCAATGTGTTGGAAATGGTAACGATATTTCAATGGTTTTTTTCCCAATTTTTTCAGCAATTCAAGTTTTCAGCTTCCTGGATTTTGCATGCCCCGTATGCTTAAGGAAGAAGATGATGGGAGTGATTCTGATGGAGGAAGTTTTGAGGCTGTTACTCCTGAGCATGATTTTAAAGATCAAGAGCCGCAGGAAAAGACTCCTGCGGCTGCAACCGTGAAGCACAGACATATTTTGGAGGATGTTGATGGCGAGCTTGAAATGGAGGATGTGGCACCCTCAAGTGATATCAAAATGGATCCAACTGCTTCTGCTGCTACTTCTACTTCTACTGCTACTGATATTTCTCTTGATGCACACAATTGTAAAGAGCAATTTACCTCGTTTGTCCCTCCATTACCTCATGATGTTCCTCCTCGAGCACCTCCTTTACCTTCATCCCCACCCCCACTCCCACCTCTGCCGCCACCCCCGCCACCACCACCTCCTCCACTGGCTCCTAATGTCTCTAATGTGCCTCACATGGATGTTGATTCACAGCTTCATGTTGGTAGAAATGTATGTTTGAAACTATATATTCAATTTAAGATGTTTTATTTTACCCCCCTCCCTTTTGTGCTCCTTTTATTACCTGATGGTGGGTTGGTTGTGTACAGCCCCTCACCACTTAAAATTATCTTTGAAATTTTTTTTTTTCGTTATTCTTGTATGAGGTTTTTTTTTCCTTAAAAGTTATATTTCATTGTTTGTTTATTGTGTGTATTTTGTTGGGAGTGGGGATGAGAGTGCATGTTACCCAGACCCTTACAATACAGTATTTTGTTGATTTGTGCTTGGGGTTATGAGGTTCTGAGATTTAGGATCCTTCAGCGACCTACCCTCAGGAGTGATCTATTTTATTCTCTTATTTCAAGTTTCTCTATGGATGTATTAGTGTTATTGGTTATTGATTATTGATTTTTAATTTATGCTTGTATCTCTTTGGTTGCAGAATATGCAAGAAGCAATGTCAGCACGACCTCCAGTTTCCGGAATGCACCATCCAATGCAGATGCCTACATCAACTAGCTGCTCTTACAATTCCTGTCCTGTAATGCATAATCATGTAGCACCAGGGAATAATCTTCAACCGATGGATGGGAATTTGTACGGAAAAGCTTATAATGTCAGGCCACCATATCCATCCTCATCCAATCAATTTTCTTACCTTCTGCCAGATCAACAAGTCCGGCCACAAAGGGAGGTTGCACCCCCACCCTACTATGACCGGTCTCGCTTTGCTCAGAGTGTAGATGGTGGCCAATTTTATGGAGACCACGATGTTAGGCAGCCGAGACATGAGTTGACAGACAGCTGGGGATATTCAAGACCTCCATATCCCAGTAAGACAGCCAAGTTATATGATACCTTGAAATTCAATATTCCACGATTCATTGGTGTTTTGAAGGCACTATAATATAATGTATTTGGGTTTTATGCATTTTCAGATTGTTAACTTGTGTCCAACATTTTCAGGTCCATGTGAACCGATGAGACCACCTAACCATGGGTGGGGATTTCCTCCTCGTCCAATGCACCATGGAAATCACATGTCTGGTGGACCGCCTTGTGATGGTAGCATTCCAGTGGCTGCAAGAGGTTTGTGCCTTGTCTTCATTTTTTACTTTAGTGTTTGGTCCTGCTTTGATTTTGCTATTTCTTTGTTTCCTATGTTGGGTGATTAAAGGACTCTTGTTTCAGCTCCTGGCTATTGGCGACCAAGATGAGCATTGTAGTATAGCTAATTGGCAACGGCTGTAAGTGTTGGCGTAGCTCAAATAGTTAACATGTTTTCATTTTGCTGTTGTATATTTTATAATAATAAATTTCTTCTCTATTGTTCAGGTTAGGCAGAATTTTTTGGTCCAGATAATCTGGCTTTTGTGCAAAGGATTGAGGGACTCCTTGATGTGCAATTGAATTTCAAGTTGAAAATACTGAGGACGGGCCTTTTGTTTCCTTGTATATAAACATGTATCTCAGTCACATTTTGATTTTTTTCTCTTTGCACCTGTGTCGCCCAATGACGTATGGACTGTTATCTGATCCTGCTCAGCATCATTCATAGTTCATCCTCCTCCCAAAGATGAGTTAGCGTTAGTTTTAGTGCTGAAATACAAGGAAGCCCTTCTTAGGAAAGTGTTAAATTTTTGGGGCTGCTGTAATACATATCTGATTTATCTATTTGCAGTCCGATATATGCACAGGTGTAAAGAAATTTTGTTTATAAATTTTTAGATGTATTTAATATATGCTCGAAGATCCTTTTATAGAAGCGGATAACTGGATATGTTATCAATTCGATTTGATCAATTACAAGGTAATTTCAATCTTGTTTGCAGGGTACATATTAAAGGGTACATTTTTATTTTGGGTGTAGCATTAATGTTTAATGAGAAGTACTTGCATAGACCAGCCTTTTTTTTTCAACTGTAATTTGAAAGCTTTTCTCACTCATAAATTCGGAAAGATATTCTCAAAGGTTGAGAACTTTTAGCTTTGGGAATAAGAATTGAAATTGGTGATGGAAAAACCTCCTTTTGGTAATCATCATTAGATGGGTAAAGGTCCTTTATAATGTTGTATATACAGGGATTTAGGTATACTAAGCGGAATTTCATGAATTATATTCACACGCACCTAAAACACGATCACATGCATAAAACATAAGAATCAAATAATTATACATTTGAAGCGTGATTTTCACGTAGCAAATTGATTGACAATTAGGGAGAGAATAGAGCCCCAAGCGTTGCTCCTCTATTTAGTCCACAGGATTTGAATGAGCCGTCCACCAATACTAGATTGGTCGAGTGAAAGGGAAACACAACGATCACCACCTTTGTGGACAACCGAAACCACCACGGTCCACCACCACCCCCGTGCACCAACCGACGCAAGGAGAGAGAGAGAGAGAGAGAGAGAGAGAGAGAGAGAGAGAGTCGTGAGAGAGAGTTTTGAGGGGTTCGGTCTCATGTTTGCTAACTCGGGTTTTCGATTAACAGTAAAACTGTCTTAGGAAAAACCTAGGCACCTAGTCTATTTATAATCCTATTATAATTAGACTAGGAGCAAAGCCCAAACCCTCCACACTCTTCTATGTGGCCGGCCACCTAGAGGGAATAGGCCCATCATGGGCCTCTTTCTCTTATGCTCAATCTAGGCCCTTTGTGTGATCTTATAGGATCCGTTCTATTGGGCTTTAGACTATTTTACTAGCCCTAAGATCGTTAGTACCTCTAGTTATGATATAACGACGATCCAAAAGAACGAACTTAATTATCTCCATAACTTGATCCATTATATACCTAGTAATTGCACTTGACGAAGACATAAATCCTTTAATCTCCCATTTGTCTAAGACAAATGCACAATATTCAAATTCCTTAAGTCAATATGTGTCGATTTGATAATATGATTGCATCACATGTCGAGATCTTATTAATCTACAAATCATTTCTTGAAATCTGAGTTAGAATTGCAAAAACAAATGATTACTATGTAATCCATTTGAGCACGACCATGCATTTTCTCAATTTTCCCTCTTCAAGAGGCCATGACACATTCCTAATTAAATAGGTAGACTCAATTCAATCTTGTGGCAACCAAAGCTCCCACTCAACTTTTGAAGTAACCAGGAAACACCTTTTATAGTCCCTTTTTACGGAATAACGTTTTGATGTACCACAGTTAAATCAATCATTGAGTGAAATCAGTGTTCCACTCATGTCAAAGGAATCCACTAATATATCCGGAAGCTCTATACTTGAACTTCAAAGTAGGTCAATAGATCGATCACGCATCATTCATGCATATCCATGTGATTGACCAAGCATCTCTATGCCCCTATAGCTCATGAAACTGCGCTATCCAATCAATTTTACATGCCAATCCATTCATTGAAATCATTTATGTCCAATTTAATGATTTCGAACTAGGAACTTAAATAATATATGAATTTAGTTCACCCGTGGGGTTTCATTCACCAAATCACGTATTTGATGATCCCGTCAATTCATAATTATATTAGACATTTTATTATTATCAAACCACAATTAAATAAGAAAAATGAAAATTTCTGGTTAAACATAATTCTGCAAGTTAATGTATTACATATGTAATAAGTTTTCTCAAAACAAAATACAACTTAAATTACATAACTTGCTTTAATCCAGAAGCCCTAGAGTGAGTCTCATGCTTGGGCTGCAAAAGGTGTATAGTAAGCGAATCAACGATATTCTCATCCGTATGAACTTTTCAAATCTTGACATCCCGCTTGCCAACGATCTCTCGAATGAGGTAATACTTCTTCTCAACATGTTTGGATTTGTAATGTGACCTTAGCTCCTTTGATTGTGCAATGGCGCCATTGTTGTCATAAAACAACTCAATTCCTTCTTAATCACTATGTACAATGTCTAGCTCAATGAGAAACTTCTTGATCCAAACAACCCCCTTAGCTGCTTCTACTGCAGCCAAATACTCAAATTCTGTCGTAGGGTCTGCGACAGTGCTTTACTTCGAACTCTTCCAGCTCACCGCTCCTCCATTCAGACAGAAAATGTATCCAAATTGGGATTTGAAGTCATCTCTGTCTGTTTGGAAACTAGCATCCGTATAGCCCTTAACAACCAACTCATTTTCGCCACCATAAACCAGAAACATTATGTTTCGGGGTTTTTGGAGTCCCTCGGGAGAGTTACAATTCCAAGAATGGATGCTGACCGTCTGTACCTGCAAAACCACGAAAACTCCGGTTGGGTGGAGTTCCGCCTCCGATGATCAAATTAGTATGTGTACGGACGGAGTTAAAAGTGCGGAATGTAAAGAGTTTCTCTCGGGTTCCGAGAGAGAATATCTGCAATTAACATTGCTCTGATTTGTGTGGATATTTCTCAATGTGCAACAAATGGGGATCTTTCCTTATTTATAGGGTTTGAGGATCAGCTCCCCTTTCATGACTTGGACTGCCCCGTGTCATAAGAGAATTGGTTCTTTCATAACCTCTTTGAGGGTGACACATGTCAGCATGCAATTGGCCACGTGGACCAGGGTATTTTACCCTAAACATTTACCCCTCACAGGTGTGACGTGGCTTGCCACGTTTCACCTGTGACAGGTGTTACCATCTGAGAAGGCGACGATTCGCCTCTACTTTTTTTTTTTTTTTTTGTGGAGATGACGGTTCACCTTCCGAGGGATTTTCCTCTATAAGTAGAAGTCCCCCCTGAAAGGAATGGTGTCCTTCCAACAAGTGTATTCTTCCGATAGAGGGTTCAGAATTATTACAGAGCTAATTCTTCAGTAAGGTCACGTGATCGGAATGCCTAGGTGGAGGCCGATTCTGATCAGCAATATCGAGGTACAATTGATATTACAGCTTGATCTTAACTGAACCCTTCGGGTCGAACCCAATCGAATCACCGATCCGAGAAGACGAATTAATCCGAAAGGATTTAATGAGTCGACATAATTTTACGAATACAGACGTCGAAAATCGAGCCTAGGGCGTCGAGACCGAGCGTCGCAAAATCACAAAGCGACAAGTACGAACGTAGCCCTAGCGTCACACTGCCTAGCCATGTGGATGCTAGGCTAGTTCGAGCTAGCATGCACCTACCATGGCTAGGCGCACCATCGCAGCCTAGGTGCACCATCGCAGCCTAGGCATGTGCATGGCAGCCTATCGCAGGGCACCACAAGCCCCAGGCAGCCCATCGCAGCTAGCAGCGTGCTAGCCTGGGTGCCTGGGTGCGCATGGCAAGCCATCGCAAGTGCCACAAGCACCAGGCAGCCCATCGCAGCTAGCAGCGCGCTAGCATGGTGCCTAGGTGCATATGGTAGTCTATCGGAGCACGCAACCCTTGCTAGGCACCATCGTAAGGCATGGCACCACGCACAAGCACCATCGCTAAGCCAGGGGCATGCGTGTGTGTGCGTGCGTGCCTCGCAGCCTCGCACTGCAGCCGCACTGATGCGTGTGGGCTGGTGCGTGTGTGCGTGCAATGGGGTGGCTGGGTTGTTAGGCAGCAGCACCACACATGCATGTGCGTGTGCGTGTGTGCATGCCTCGCACCAAGCACAACAGTGCTAGGCACTGGCTGGTGCGAGCGTTGCGTGGTGCATGATGCGTGTTGCGTGGATGATGCGAGGGAAGGGCCAGCATGCGTGGCTCGCTAGCAGCACGCATGCTGGCTGTGCTAGCAATGGCGCGCGAGAGATGTGCGTGGCTGCTGGGGCCAGTGCCAGCACTAGGTGATAGCAGCGCCCAGCGCCAGCACGTAGCACCAGCACAGCCCAGCAGCAGCGTGCACTGGCTGGCTGGCTGGGTGCTGGGCAGCAAGGCAACGCTAGCTAGCAGCCCCAGCTGGCACGATAGCTGGCAGCCAGCTAGCACGATAGCTGGCAGCCAGCTAGCACACCTTGACCTGGTTTTGGGCATGGTGTGTGGGGACCAATACATGGCCTTGGGGATCAAGGCATTGGTCCCCCCAAGCCTTGGTCCTCACTTGGCTTTCTCTATAATTGTGCCATGTGTCAATTTGTGATTGAATTGATTAATTATTTAATTTTGGAATTAAATAATTATCATTTTACCAACTCTCCCACATTGATGGGAGATTGGAAATCAAGGGATCATTTCCCAATAAATACCAAGCTTGGTATTGGGATTTGATACAACCTTGAGTGGAATTAAAAAGGAAACTCTAAGAAAAGAGTAAACCTTTGATTTGTAAAACTCATAGTTATTTTGTCCGGGTCTTGACTAACCTTCAAGACTTAGGACGCTCGGGTTGGGTCGAGGGTACGATCCGTCGGAGATCTCGTCTTTTCGGGATTTTGAAGTAAGAGCTCCTTGGGAGCGAAGCACGCGTCAAAGGTATAATTCTTGTCCTTAATCTTGTTTGATTAAGTTTATTATGCTTGTTTAATTGCTTTAATTAAGGGGCGGGTCTTGGTGGGTTTCCTTCCGCGTAGTGTCAGGTCACTACGAAACCCTACAGCGGTATCGGAGCCACGCTCCTTTTAATTTTTGCAATTACTGTTTAATTAAGGTGTTTAAAAGTATTTAATTTCTGGTTCATGTTCATCTAATTAGATTAGATGCTCGTTTTAATTAATTTTTAAAACTCGATTTTATTTTCGATTTGGCTGTCGAACCCAGATTTTGGCTCAAAAATAGTGATTTTTGGGTGGAATTGACATTCTGGAACTGTTTCAACTCTTTCAGGATTGTCCAGAAGCCAAATTCGAACCAAAAACCCAATTTTTCTGGGGTTTTTCGTTTTTCAACAAAATTTTTTATTCTTTTTAAGCCTTGATTAATGCAAGCAT